TCCCCAAGGGGAGGGCCCTTTTTCTGAAAAAAACGGAGGGTGCTGGGGGGGTAGAGGCCCCTATTCGAAAAGCGCAGGGCAGAGGGAAAATTCCCTTTTTTTTTTTGTCCCCGCGGAGGGCGTCCTCCTGGCCCCCCCGCCAGCCAAGGGGGTTCCCCCACCAACCCTTGTATTCCCCCCCGGAACTTCCCCCCCTTCGCCCAGCCCCGCCAAGGTGGGGGGGGGGGGCCAAGGGTTTAACAATTCCGCCAGGCGCTTCCAGGGGTCCCCCCCCCCCCCCGCCCCCGCAGGGCCACCGTCGGCGCGAAGGATCTGTCGCGAGGCCTCTCCCGGCGCGAGCGCGTGCGACAGTTCCGGCGGGAGCGGGGGCTGAACGAGCGACCCCCTGGCGGGGAGGGCGCCGTGTGGCCGCCCGTCGACGACCCCATGGAGGAGCTCACCGAGCTGGTGTGGCCATCGTCGGAGCTACCGGCGCTGGAGGTCAACATGTCGGTGGACGAGGTGGGGCGGGTGGAAGCTGTTGTTTTTTGGTCCAATGGCGGCGAGGGCGGGGATGTAATAACAGCCGCTGCCGTATGCATGTGCCTTGCTTGCGCCTGTTGCCGTGGTTTGGCTGCGGGTGTTGTTTGAGTTGACTACTGCTGCTGCTGTCGTCGTTCCTCGCGACTTATCCCATATCCCCCTTGTGTGGTGATCACACTGCTCAACGTCTTTTCCCCTTTTTCTCGCGTCCTACCACCGCCGCCGCCGCCGCTGCCGTAGGCACTGCTACTGCTGTTCTCGTTCTTTGAAACCTATCCCCGAACAACCTACCCAACGCCATATCTGGTGATAAAACCCCTAGCCCAATGTCTTCCCCCCCCCGTTGTCTGGCCGCCACTGCTGCAGGCGGCCTGCCTGCTCTCGTTCCACGGCCGGCCGCTCTCCGAGCTCCAGCTCCGGAGGGGGCTCACGATCGGAGTCGAGACGTTCCGGCAGGGGTTGGGCCGTCGCGCGATGGAGTGCCGCGGCCTGCTTCGCGGGCTTCTCCTGTGGGACAGGACCGGCTCGGCGTCCGGAGAGCTCGCGTGCATAATCAGCAGCCTCGATGGGCCCCACCCCTCCGCCCTCAAGCCTGCTACGGCTGCCGCCGCCGCGACCGCGCCGCCGCCGGCCTCTGCTCCGGTGGAGGGTTCTGCTGCTGATGCCGAGTTTCTGGAGGGGGGAGACAGGGCGGCGTTTTTGCTGCCGAGGGGGTCGGCGGAGGCGGGGAACCGGGGGGTTGAGCTGCAGTGGCTGTTCACTGGGAGGGTAAGATGGCCTCGTGGAGCGTGGTCTTGTTGCTATTTAGGGTTTGTGAGCGCGGTCCCTGCGTTTGGGAGGGGTTGGAAGTGGGAGCTGGACGGTAAGGGCGCTGAAGGTTGCAAGGACCCACAGCAGTTGTATTGATGTGTGCAATATTGCAACGAACGTACGGGACGCAGCTCTCGTGGTGCTATGTACGCACGCCAGCTTGCCCTGCCGTGGGGTTGTTGTTGTTGTTGTTGTTGTTGTTGTTGTTGTTGTTGTTGCTGGTTGTTGCGGCGGTTGTCATTGGTGTCTCTTTTGTTCGAAATGACGACTCTTGTCCGTCAGATAGGCCGCCGTTGTTGTCGTCTCTTGTCGGATGCCAACGAAGATCGCTTGTGCGTGGGCCCTTGTCCCTCAGATCAGCGAAGCCGAGGCGCGAGCAGACCGCGAGGCGAGGGGGATCTCTTCGGCCGGCCCCGTTGTCGAAGGCGTCGCCGCAAGGGAGGGGACGCCCGGAAGGGAGCCCCGCCCCCCGATCCTCAGGGCCAGATTCTCCGCCGCGCGGGTGGTGTACCTGCAGAGGTTCACAATGGAACAGGCAAGAGAGGAGGACGACGGGGGGTCTAGCTTATTTTTTTGTCCGCGTTTCGAGCTCAAACCGAACTTACTCTCCCGAGCTCGCTAGAAAAACAAGTCCAAGGAGAAACGAAGGTGGTGGTGTGCAGCTATACCTCTTTGCGACGTGTGTACCCCCGCCCCGCCCCGCCCCGCTACACAATTTGCTCGTACAACCCCCCCCCCCGCTGTACCGATGCTCCTGTACTAAAGCTCCC